TGAAACAAATAAGCTCAAAATAAGGTACAAATGTACAATGCAATGAATAAATTTCGTTAGATACTTGTAATTTTTTTTATAAAAGCGAATTTTATTTTAAGAAATACAACGAAAGAAGAAATAAAAAATATTTCTTTAAATGTTTATGTTTTAATAGTCCAAGATTTTACATATATACTGCAAATTACCAATCTCTAATCTCATTAAAATTATGAATTTTAGATAATTATTGTTGCTGTATTTATATATAAATATAAAAATATTGACTTCTTCAACATACACTACTAAAAAAGCATGGATTAGAGACGGAATTTAGAGACGAAAAAAAATCCATCTCTAAAAGGGACGAATTCAGATAGGGAATAACAATCCCTCATAAATAAGGAGGGAATTAGAGACGATAATATTTCTGTCTCTGTTATTGACAGATTTAGAGACGAAAAATCAATCCTTCTCTAATAGGTATAGTTTCGTCTCTAAATCTGTCCCAAATAGAGACGACTAGTTTTTCATCTCTAATAGAGATAGATTTAGAGACGGAACTTAATATGTAGAAAATAATGATAGTCTTAAGTGGATACATTTGGATTTAGTGAGGGAATTTAGTGACATATTTTTTCATTTCTATCAGTGATAGATTTAGAGACGGAACATTTATTTTCATCTCTAATTCCGTCACTGATAGACACGAATATTTTTTGGTCACTATGAGTCAAGGATCGTGTTCCATGCCTAAGAGAAATAAATTATTTTTTGCTCCTATTTGAGACAAAAAGTAATGTGTCTCTGTTTGGGACAAATTTTGAGACGAAAGTAAATGACCTGTCTCAAAATCCGTCTCTAATAGAGACACGTTACTTTTCATCTCAAATAGGGACAAAAAATAATCTGACTCTCTTAGGGATGGAACAAGATCCCTCATTAATAGCGATGAAACTTTTTCCTTCTCTAGCAGTGACGGAATTAGATATGCAAATACATATTCTGTCTCCAATTCCATCATTGATAGAGATGGAATTATTTTATCTCTATCAGTGAGGGATTGTGTTCCATCTCTATTTGAGACAAAAAAATATTGTGTCTCTATTTGGTACAAATTTTGAGACTAAAGTAAATGACCCGTCTCAAAATTCATCTCTAACAGAGATAGATCACTTTCTATCTCAAATGCGGATGGAAAATAATCTGTCTCTATTAGGAATGGAACAAGATCCCTCACTAATAGAGATGGAATTTTTTATGTCTTTATTAGTGAGGAAATTAGAGACCAAAATGCACATTCCATCTCTAAATCTGTCACTGATCTATTTTAAAAAGTGTACAAGCTTGGACTCATTAAAAGGCTTCTTTAGAAATCAAATAACAAACCTATTAAAGGAGACAACCGCATCCGATTAGCCCATAAGATATAAAAAAAATAAGAGCTCGGAAGGCAGTTAATTGCATTTGAAGCAACAACTTGTGCAACCGTAGGGTAAAAAAATCCTAGTTTTGAAGCGATAACTTGTGCGAGCACGAAGCAAGAAAATTCAAGATTAGGAGTGATGACTTGTGTGGAACCATAACGAGAATATCCAAGTTTTCATGCGATAATTTGTGGAGGCACATAACATTAAAATCCAATAATATAATATAGAAGAAAGAATTGTATAATATAAAAGAATAGAATGTCCAAAGATTTCATCGTTTTTATAGAAGGGGAACGCCTCTTGGTCTTCTTCCCTAGGTTGTTCTTAATATATCTATTGGTCGTGTTCGTGTCGAATGTTTTACCCGATTTCAAAATTGTGTCGTGTTCATGTTGATTGTATTCATGTTTGTGTCGAATTCATGTCATGTTGTGTCATGTCGATTCAAATTGCCACCCTATGACAAGCCAATAGGATTCATTATCTCTGTAAGAGATAAGTTATCCACAAGAGACCAGGGGGACTCAAATGACTTTCGTAAGACTCAGGAATCCCTGCACAATAAAGAGACTACGAAGGAGATCATGGATCCACCTTTAGAGTTTATAGAAGAAGAATTCTAATTCTGTAAAAGCTAACTTCCTGTCAGTCAAGAGTTGATATGGTATCCCTGCTCTTGATTGGAAGATGGATAACGAGATGAAACAATGGATTGGCACGGTAACCCTACATGAATGGTTGATCACTTGATCGTTCATCTAGCTTTGAGGCCACAAAGTATTGCTAGTACTCTGTGTGATCATGTTAGGCCTACTAAAGGGGTTTAGTACGCCCAAGCTTATTTATGTCAGTGGCTAATTGGACCTAATAGGTCACACACATAAGAGTATAATGTAGCATATGGTTTTGGGCATATAAGAGTGTAATGTAGATTCTATGAGATATGATCATTCAAGTGCTATAGGTTAATAGCCGAAACAAATCAGAACTATGCTGTGAATAATATGAAACATATGGGCCTATATGACTTCAAATTGCTTTTATAAAGGTGTTTAGATTTTTCTTTCCCTTTCAAATGCTTTATATATATATATAATCTTTCGACATCGGTGTCAAATTTTGAAATTTGACATCAAATTTTAACCTTTAATTTATGCAAATCAATAGTTATCATTTATTAGAAATTAAACTTATTAATTAATATTAATTTCCAATAAATGATAACCATTGATTGATGAAAATCAATGGTTAAATTTTGGTATATATATATATATTGAGGAGAAATCTTTTGTCTTCGGTGTAAGACTTCTAAATCTTACTCTTCATCTTAACCGTTTATTTTCGTCCATATAACAATTATAGTTTATTGAACAATACTAATTAATTATTTATTAAGATTTAATATCTTTTTGTTTGGCACTCTTAACATTGAAGTGAATACTTTATCCCAAAAAAAAAGTGAATACCGGTGAAACCCCAATAAAGGATGAAGCTAACCACACCAAAAAAAGAAAAAAAGAAAAAAAAAAGGATGAAGCTAATACTGGTGATTAGATTCTTTATCGTGGTCACAAAATGGTTGCGTGTGATCTGCAGTACGTGATTTTTGCAGCTACCAGGTCATCGCTGAACACGAATATGTATGTTATTTTTATTATTTTTAATTTTTGGAAGATTTATTTTATAAGATTAATGTTCGGCTTTTTAAAAAATATTAAATTATATTATTTTAATTAAAATTACTGTATTTTATGATAAAAAAATTACATAATTAAAATCTTGATATAAAAAAACGAGAGTTTTTTATTTAAATATTAAATAAAAAATAATTATTTTAACTAAAATAATTGTTCAAGACAAATAATTTTTCCTTTTTGTATATATATTGCTCTAGAAATTATTTATTTATTAACAAGTTCATTATTATAAAAATTTCAACGAATCAAAATTACACAAGTGATTATTTTTTAATTTTAAGTTGTTTATTTTTTAGAAAAATTATTTTATTTCAAGGTTCTCCACTGTACTTGCTCGAGTAGGCTATACGTGTATCTCACAATGCCAAATATAAAAACTGATTTAGCCTATCATGAAGTTGAAAAATTCCCAAAAAAAAAGGGATATAGTAACAGTCCGTTCAAATATCATGTCATATGAGATATTATCTAAATTACTATTTTTTTTCATTCCCTCCAAAACTTGATTCCCACGATTTTTTTACTATTTCAGTTCATTCCCACCTCCCAACCTTGATTCCCGCGTTTTAGTTTTATTAGCCAAGAACGTGTATTTGAGCTTTGTAACCATCCTTCTCATAATTTGTTCTCTCACCATTCTCACAACCCACATCACTTTTGCATAAGCTTTGAAATTATCCCTATTCTGAAGAAATTAAAGCAAGGCTGGTAATTCGTCCTGACGACACTGAAGACAAAGTATGATAAATTATACTCTTGCTTTTTTCTTTTGTCTTTTTGCTGTATTTGTGGGTATATCACCTAGGCTGTATCATCTGAAAAATTTATGCTTTACGTGTGCTCGTTGCAACCAGGAACCGATGGACTCAACTTGAAATAATATCTTGAATACTTGTTTACATTAATGTCCTATTCATTTTGTTGCATGACAAGTTTGTTCACAATATTTATGAGAAATTAAAGATCTTAGTTGTCATATTTTAAGTTGGTATTTTAAACCGAAATGAGAAAGCATGTCGTATTGGCCTTCAATACTGCATTATAAGAATGTTGTCAATCATATGCATGAACTGTTTAATGCACGCTGCATATACTTTCAATTTTTTGAGACTCTGTTTCTTTTTCTCAATATAGCACCAAATTGGTGGGGGTAAACCATTTCCATTACCAATTTCCTTCTCTAGTAATATCTTTCATCAACTTATGTAGAAGTGTGCTCCAGATTCTCAATCTTGACATTGTATTTAATAAATCAATTTATTATTATATGTAGCTAACTACTTGCTTCTGTTATTCAGTTTTGTTATGATATAAGAGTTCACATCTTTTTCTGAATGAGATGCTGATTACATTGTAGGGTCTTTACATGGGGGTTAATATGCAATAAACTCGAATAATTCTTATTTTGTTAGTTCATTTACTAATTGCTTTTTATTCAGAAAATAGAAATCAAAGCACAATTTTTTCAACAAACTTATACAGGAAGATCACATTACCACCTTAGTGTAACTCTAGTAATAGGAAGGTATATGCATATCTATGTTAGGAAGGTATACCCATTGACGTGTTGGAGTATTTCAATTCCATTATTTTTAAAGATATTATAATATATGGTTGGATTGTAAAATTAACTTTTTTTATTAATTTTCATTACAACAAATTAATTTATTCTTACAATATATATAAAAAGATAGTTGTTTGTGTGGTTATCATTTATTGCAAATTTATAATTTTGTTGGGTTATGAGATATAATTGTGGAAGTCTTATGAATTTCTTAAGTCTTACTGTACTGTTATTGCATTTAATTAGCTAATATATTAATATTGTATGTATACAACTCTATTCTTTTTTGTATTACTAGAATCACAGGTTTTTACTATTTCATGTATGTAGATGTCGCCAAATGGACATACAGGTAGAGGTATTAATAGGCGTAAGGGCATAGCTCGAGGGGGAATGAGAGTTGAGTCCCCTTCACTGCAGTCGACTCCACACTCGCAGCCTAGTCCTTCATCATTTAGGCTTTCTACCCCGACTCCAGAGCATACTGCTGCCTCCACAGATGAGGCAAATCAGGTTTTTCCATGAACTTAAATGTTTTAAGTACTTGTCTTATGTAAATGACATATAAATTGTTTTTAAATTGAACACATAGGTAGCTAGCCCATCACCCCTCCCTACACCCGGTGTTGACTCTTTCACTGCGACAATGTCTAGTGGTGCATTGATGCTTCCCGTATGGGGGAGCAAAGATCCTGCTGATGAGTTGATATGGATACGCCCCATGGGAACGGCGTAAGCGTTGAATACTTTTTGTATTCGTGTAGTTAATTAAATTCTTCTTTGTAAATAAGTTTCTAATTGTTTGTGTCTGTGATCACAGGTTTGACCCTCCATATGTGGTGCGAGAAATAACTGACATCGTAAAAAGTAACTTTAATACAAGTTGGCTCTCATATGGAGAGGTTCGCAAGGCAGTGGGAGACAACTGGTATAAACAATTTAGGGTATGAGATAATTGTTTAATTTTGTATGTACATATTTTTTATATCAGCATACACTACTCATTAATCAATCACCTTGTTAATTGTTATATGATTTGTATATGCAGAAAATGTATAAATGTGTTCCACAGCATGAGGTTCTTATGCAAAAGACATTTCATCACAAAGCATCGTATTTATTGTCACATCATTTGCACAAGGTTCGGGTAGGTACGGAGAGAGGGACATGGATTAAATCAGATATTTTACCACAGCTGCAGGAGAAATGGGCCTTAGCAAGCTGGCAAAGAAGGTCTCAGAAAAACAAACAAAATAGATCAAAATACGAAGGACCTGCACATGTTGGAGGTTCTATCCCAGCAACGGAAATTAAGAAGAGATTGGTAAGTAATTTGAATTAAAAATTGTACAACTAAAAACTATTGTTTCTCATTTTCATTATGGATGTTTGGATAACCTTTTGTATTGTAGAGGATGGATCCTACTATAAATCCAGAGTCATTATCTTGGGAGGTATTTAAGAAGATGCACTTAGTTAAATCAGATGGCTTATGGGTTAATGAGAAGGCAAAGGGATATGCTGTAAGTTTGTGATATTTGAGAATTTTTGTTTATTTGACATTAAATCAGATTTAAGTGATAACTAATGTAATTTTTGTAATTTCAGGAGGACTTTTTGAAGCGAAGGACTGATCGTGACAATGCATTGGAGGCTGGGGCAGAGGCATCCACATGTCAATCTGATGAAGTGCTATTATTGCAGGCTGTTGGTGGTATGAACAAGAAAGGTCGAATATATGGTTTAGGTGCAGAGGCGTGGAATTATAAGTCCACAAAGATTTCTGCTAGCTTGTCAGGAGTCTCCACAGATGAGTATGATCACATGAGAGACTTGGTCACCAGCTTATCCAGCCAAAATGAGCAGCTGAAGCAGAAATATGAGAACACGCAACAACAAATGACTGTTATGAAAAAGAAAACAGACCAAGAGATGGCAATTATGAAAGAGAAAACAGACCGAGAGATGGCAATTATGAAAGAGCAACTGGCGATGTTGATGGCTCGTTTAGGAGGAGATGTGCGCACCTCCACTACTACTACTTCGGCACTAGATGCACAGAGTGATGATTATGATGATTATAGTGATGTTCAGTTGCATGATGATAATTGATAGTATGCATATTTCCTTTTCTTATCTTCATTTGTGAATATTGCTTGTTATCTCATACATTTTGTTATTTTTTATGAATTCACGTAAAAACTTATTGTATTGCAATGGTTGGATTTGATTTGATCTTTATTTTCATTTAGTATGGCTACTTTATATTTTGTGTCAGTTGAATTTCCTATAAGAATATTAGATTATAATTAATATTAGTTTTCGGTAAAAATTAAATTTTCAATGTAATTGATTTTGAAAAAAATTCAAATATTAGGGATAAAAATAACGACAGAAATATATGTCACCAATTGGGATGGAAAACATTGTCATTAATAGAGATAGAAACAATATATTACTAATAGAGAAAAAAATTTCCCTCACAAACAGAGAAAGAAACAATCCATCACTAACAGAGAGGGAAAAATATCCATCGCAAATAGAAAGGAAAAATATTCGTCACTAACAGAGATGAAAATTATCCATCACTAACAAAGACAGAAAATTGTTTGTCACTAACAGAGAGGGAAAAAATTCATTACTAATGGAGACGAACAACTTCCGTCCCTAACAACTTCCGTCTCTAATAGGAACGGATTACACATAGTTCACGTGCATAAATTAGTGACAGAAAATAATATCATAGAGACAGATTTATCCATCACTATCGGGGAGGGAAATATTTCTGTCTCTAATAGTGACATAATTTTTTCCGTCTCAGATAGAGACGGATTTGTTCCGTCCTAAAATCCGTCTCTATTAGAGACAAATTCATAATTCTGTCTCCATCTGTTAGTGACGAGCCATAATGTAACGGATTTTTGTCCGTTTCTAATTCCGTCACTAATTTACTTAGTGACGGAAATATTTCACTTAGTGAGGGAATTTTTCTGTCTCTAATCCATGCTTTTTTAGTAGTGTCTGTCCTACCGTAAAACACTGAACTTCCTTATACCCGAAACATTCCACTCACAGCAACATCTCAGTGATTCACATATGTTAGTGGGTTCATTTGAACAACAATTTTGGCGTCAAGCTTTGGATATCAAAGGAGTCTCTGGATAAATACTCTCTTCTCTAGTAGATTAGGAATTCAAATGGGAGTAACAAAAAATCTCACATAAGGAATGAACCAAAAAATCCAAGTCTTAAAGTTTTATATCGAGATATAAGTGTCGGAGCCCCTTATTATAGATTTGTTGCTTATAGTCATTAATACGTGAATAAGTGCATGCGTAAATAAGTTTTTGAAAACTTTTATGATTAAATTTTTTCAACATTTTTTCGGAAGTTATTATTTGTAGCTTTTAAGAAAAATATTAATTATTTTAAGTTTAAATTTTTTTTAAAAAAAAAGAACTTATTAAATTATTATAAAAATTTAATATATATTTTATTTAAAAAATACCTTTTCTTAATTTAAACAAAAAGCACAAACACACAGACAATTATTAATCTTTGAGCCTGTGGATTAATACCATCATAAGCATCAAAGCTTAACAGATAATTGCTGATGGGTGGAAAATGACAATAATTATTGAGAGAAAATTGCTAAATAAAAAAGTTATATTTCAAAAACAAGTATCATGGTTTTTTAGTGCCATCAGGGTGTATTCATTGTCAATCAATTTTAAATATATTTTTTTTATAAATTATTATCTAAGAAGAATTTTTCTCGTAAGTGCTTACCTAAAGTTTCAAGACTTAAATAATCAAGATGGTGAACACATCTTTATACTAACAAGCCAAGTCTCTTAGTTTAAAATTAGGGATAAATAAGAGTTATGTTGTAGGAAAATTAATTTAGTTATGTTAAGATAAGACAAAATAAAATCATTGAACAAAGTGTCTTATCATATTTTTTTATTATTATTTTTTTTTGTCTTTTAGTGTTGCATGACTTCATGTAACATGATAAGTTAAAGACCCTTAAAATTATTGTGTACATTTTATGTGCTGAATATAAAATAAAAATGGCGCGCGTGCGAGTACGGATTATCAACTTAATTGAAAGGGCTTGTTCACTAGAAAGCACAAGTGTTGACTCATTCTCAGATTTATTTATTGTAGGCGTCATTGTTGAATGTTGAGTGCAAAGTTATTCATGTATATATTAAAATACAGCTCCTTTACATGGAAAACACTGCTATATTTTTTACACAAACTTTTCCATACTCTCACTAAGATAAAAACAGCCAATTCTATTTGTTCAGGAAAGTTAATCCTTTAAGATAATGGCAGTCAAAAATGGTGTCTGAAAAGTGAACATTATTATGCAGCAGATTTGAATAATTTCATCAAGGAAAATTCTATTTGTTTAGGAAAATTTGCTTATTCTACTTTAGTAAAATTATAGTTGAATAGAATAAATATTATCCACATCTCACCCAAAGGTGAACTTGAGAGTCTTTGCGGTAACTTTAAGGGAGTGTTTGGTAGAAGAATTTTTTTTAAAATCACAGGAAGGTGATTGAGAATTCAATTTACGTACGTTTGGTACGAGGATTGCAAAAATTTTCTCAGGAAAGTCAAATTTCCAGAATTCATGCTTATGAAAAAAAATTATATCTTAAAATATCACCAAATTGATGGTATTTTTAGAATCCCATATGATGAGAATATTTGATACTTTTTTTGGGAATCCACAATCATAACAATATTTTACAATCAACCAAATATAACATCAAGAAAATTAATCCAATATTCCCATGAATATGTTGGCCTATCAAATAACTTTTTAGTAATATTCTCAGAAAATTTATTTTTTCATCGTATTCCAAAAAATCGTGATTATAAAAAAAAATTCTCCATGCCCCTAAATTCCACAACAACCCTCTATGACCCAATACAACATTTTCTATTGCAGTCATTTTGTTAACTAAGCTATTATTCAAGTGGGTAATTATGAGAAAGAAAGTTGTGCTAGAAAGAGGCACTATAGTGGCAAGTTGGTTGGTTGTCTATAATTTTAATAGAACAGATAAAGAAAGTTAGAGCATAAGTTTGTCTCATACTCTCATTCCACTCATTTTGATCGAGATAATGATATTTTTTTATGGTGATAAGGTTAAATTTTTTAAGTCCTTAATATAATGCTCGCAATGCTATGAGAAGACAGGGTCATTTGGTATTGGACGTATTAAATTTAGAAATTTTCAATACTACATAGCACCTAAACAAAGGCAAAAGGTAGGAACACTCCCACAACCATATCTAAAACATATCAACTTTCCATATCCCATTCTATGTTTGGCATCGTCAGAAGGATGATAGTACTGTTCCCTTATTCAGAGTAAGCATACGAGAATTTCAGATTTCGGTCACTGCTCATCATCCCACAGATCATCAAGAAGAGGCTTGGTTGGTCCTTTGATAAGTCTCTCTTGATAGATTTCACTTATTTTCTTGTAATCATCCTCAGTCAATGACCAATCAAAGATTTGCAAGTTTTGCTTCATCCTCTCCTTGTCGTAGCTCTTAACAGCAACAGTCACCCCTTGCTCATATATCCATCGAAGACAGATCTGTACAATTTTTATAAAAAAGTATTATTATAGATCTGCATCAAAATTAAAAAACTAAAACAAAAACAAAATGATAGATGGTATTAATTATACCTGAGCAACAGTTTTGCCATGAGCATCTGCTAATTCCTTGAGAACATCATTGTCCATCACTAGATTGGTTCCCCTACTGGCACCTTTCCTAAGAGGTGAGAAAGCAGTTAAGGTAATACCCTTTGCCTTGCAGAATTCTCTGAGCTTCTCTTGTTGCCACCCAATATTTATTTCAACCTATTTACAATTAAGGATTTGTACACACAATTAGTCATGTAAAATGGATTAATATGCAAGTAAATGGTTAGATTGAACTAATTTATGTGCTTGATTAATTAATACCTGATTCACTGCAGGAGGGATAGTAGCTAAAGGTAGCAATTTTTCAAGCTTCTTAATAGAGAAGTTGCTGACTCCAATGGCTTTGGTGAGGCCAAGTCTTTGGCATTCCTCCATTGATGCCCACACACCCTTCATGTCAAATTCCAATATCTCTGATACTTCAATTGGGTAGGTAACCTTTCCTGGTTTAGTAGTAATGGGCCAGTGGATAAGAAAGAGGTCTAAGTATTCTAGCTGAAGTGTCCTGCATGCAAAAAACACATAACCGCTTAAGTTAATACTTATCTATGGTCAAAACAAAAGAGGAAATACTCAACAACATTATTAGAACAGCTCAAAATTAAAAGGGTAAATTTAATCACCTTAGTGATTTTTGTAAAGCAGGAACAATAAGTTCAGGATGATTGTCAGTGACCCAAAGTTTGGAAGTAATGAAGAGTTCATCTCTGGAAGCAATAAGTCCAAGTTTAAGTGCTTCTGCTATGGCTTCCCCTACTGATGGCTCCACCCCATATGCAGCAGCAGCATCAAAATGCCTATAACCTTGTTTGATGGCTTCAATGACTGCATCTTTTGTGCTAACCTTACTTGCAGATTCAGGAGCTGTGCCAAGGCCAATGACTGGCATTCTCCTTTGGCCAGAGGAGGAGGAGAGAACTACTTCAGGGATTGTAGTGACTGCCATGTTGGGTAAGGTTGATGAAAATGGAGATGGGAAATGTTCTGCTAGCTGTTGATGGTGTGTGTATATGTTGGCCTTATCACCTTTTTATAGGATAGATTCCTCCAAATAAAAATTATAGTTTATTGTGGTTGGTGGGAGTGGGTAGCTACTACTAGTTTGGTATGTGACTATCCTAAGTAGTATGACTTAATTTCAGTAGTGGATTGATATTGGAAAATTATTATTATTGAACTTATTGTCCAGTAAGATTGGACTTTTCTTTTAAGATAAATTATGTGTAAAGCTACATATTATGCTTTTGGTGGACCGGACGGAAATTGAGATGGTTTTTAATAAATTTTATACTTTAATTTTTATAACATTCTTGAAAGAGGGTCTTTAGTTTTTTTTTTTTTTTAAAAAAACTTTAATTTATTTAGTATAATTTCTGTCTAGTTGAAAATGCATCCATGAGATGTTATTAAGACATTGATGGTGTGTGTATATGTTGGCCTTATCACCTTTTTATAGGATAGATTCCTCCAAATAAAAATTATAGTTTATTGTGGTTGGTGGGAGTGGGTAGCTACTACTAGTTTGGTATGTGACTATCCTAAGTAGTATGACTTAATTTCAGTAGTGGATTGATATTGGAAAATTATTATTATTGAACTTATTATCCAGTAAGATTGGACTTTTCTTTTAAGATAAATTATGTGTAAAGCTACATATTATGCTTTTGGTGGACCGGACGGAAATTGAGATGGTTTTTAATAAATTTTATACTTTAATTTTTATAACATTCTTGAAAGAGGGTCTTTAGTTTTTTTTTTTTTTTAAAAAAACTTTAATTTATTTAGTATAATTTCTGTCTAGTTGAAAATGCATCCATGAGATGTTATTAAGACATTTCTGGACTCTTTTAACACAATTCTTCCGTTCTAATTTTTTGGTACAATGTTGCGTTCTTAGCTCAGCTGGTTTAAAACTAGGGAAAGGTGAATGGCCCATTCCTCACTTGTTATTATTCTTAGTATCAAAATTTTCTACTACCAACTCACTACTCATCTAATTATCATTGGATCAACATTTTCTTTTTTTTCAAAAACTTTTTAACATTCTGTCTCTTTGATTCAATGATGATTAGATAAGTAGTAAGTTAGTAGTAAAAACCTCTATATTTACCTATTACCAAATTTATTTACTTTTTCTACGTTATTGTTTGATTTACCTTTATATATATATATGTTTGCTTTTTCTACAGTTAATGCAGATACTTATCTGCAGTAAGCCTAATATAACGTCGTTTTGAAATGGAAATCATGGTATTTTTGTAATTTTAATTTATTTCAGGATTATTATAGTCTTTATAATTATAATTTTCTAACCCCTAAAGATTTTTCAAGAATTTGCTTGAGACAGGGTTTGAACCCCTGACTCAAGCAAACCCTTAGGAGCTTAGTTGCCAACTGAGCTACTCTTAAGGGTTTTCTACTACTATTTTACAATCAACTAAACAATAACTCAGAAAACTTAATCAAATTATCTCGAAAAATTTTTGCTCAATCAAACACTTTTTTATAACTTCTCCGAAAAAAAACGTTTCCTAATTATTTTCCGGTAATAATTTTTCCCCAATAAATTTTTTTTTCTCCTGTACATGTATTTTAGTTGCAAGGCTCAAACTTTGTATCTAAGACATAATTTATGATTTGTAAGACAAATGAACAAACTCGCCATTCCTTTCAACAAAAGGGAAAGGCCCAAATTCCAAAATATCTTAGACTTTAATATTTGATTTTTTTCTCGGTGCCATTTATATACAAGGTTGAAGACATGAAGTTCAACAAATATCATGTCAGCTATGGTAAAAAATATACTTTTCTACTCTCCGTGTCAGCATATTCTTCATTTTCTTTACTTTTTATTTTCTCTCTCTTTTTTTAGTAGATTTTCTTTTATATTTAAGATAATTTTATTTCATACAATATGAAAAAAATATTTTCAATCATTTATATCTGCAATTTTATATTTTATCCGTTAATTTATTTTATTTTTTATTTAAAATAGTTAATTGAAAATCCCAGGTCGTTCTTTAAAAGTAGTACTTTTATAAAACTGCATATTCAAAGCTGGTAAGCCATAGTATCATATATAGCAGCATATGGCGTCCCACTTTTTATCTTTCCCTTGTACCGCCGGTGTTGTCAAGGCAACAGGAATTCATAACCATGCATAAGGTGGGCCAAGACCAGCCATGTTTGAATTCAAAATTCAGTTTTCTTTCCCTTGCACGTTGCTTGTATGTATGTTCTATAAAACCATAAAGCCGCCATTAGGTATATCAAATAAAAGAACATTTTATTACAAATGACGATCACACAAATCTTATCGACAATGCTGATGCATAATTTTAATTTTATTTATACAATAATGGCACTAAAGTTAAATTTATAATTTTATACATATTATTCGAATTTTTCGCCACTTACCCACTCTTGACATAATTCTGATTATATATATATATATATATATATATATATATATATATATATATATATAACAAACAAAATAAATAAAAATAAAAATTTGGCTTTAATGAAGAAGCCTGACTTTTGCACACCAAATAATTATTCTGATAATTTTATTCATTACAATTAACCAGTCAAATAAGGAATAACTTCTATCACTAATAATCTCATTACTAATAAAAAAACCAACTGATCTTATCTACTAATAACCAATCATGACTTGGTCAGCCACAACTCCTTACTAAAGTAACAAGAATAATAAATTCTTAAAAAATAACTACTCACTACTTAAATAACTTATAATTCAAAAAATAATAAAATAACTGTAACATTCCTTCTCCTTACTCTTGTCCTCGAGAGTAAGATCAACTTCAAGTAATTGAATCATCTTCGATATCTTTGTCTACCTCTCCATCACTTTCGTCCATAAAGTTGTTCTTATCATGAACTAATATCTTATCTATGTGCATGCCTTCGTGAAGTATATACTCCATCTAGGCAAGATAGGCATAAGAGAATTTTCTCTTGCCAAGAACATTGATCTACTTGCTAATATTTTGAAAAGTTGGAGACTTTTTACGTAGATGCAGCAATCTAAGTGAACAGCTGATATGACTAAACAAATCTGCAATGGTCCTGTATTTTTCTAATTGCCGAGTTTGTGTTTGCTTGGATTTGATAAGCAAGGGCTCAAAGTTCTTCTCTGTAGTTAGGCATGCAATTGGTGCATCAACTGCGTGGAAAATCTTCCTACACTTGAAACCTGAAGCATTTTTTACAAATTCTTCACACTTTTTTGATCCATTTCCATCACCTGAATGTCTTCTGAAAGGCCACTAATGAAAAATTATCTCCTCTTTATTGTGTTAGCGTAGCCACCAAGACATCCAGTTAGTTGGAGAATTAGATGAACATCTCCTTGAATTGCTCGGACGAAGACGGGATCGAGTCTTCTAATTTCGGAACGCGTTTGTCCATGCCTAAGCTTTGATCAATTGTTACAAACAAAATAAATAAAAATAGGAATTTGATTTTACTGAGGAAGCCTAACCTTTTGCACACAGTGCTTTCTGCCAAATAATTCTTTTGATAATTTTATTCATCTCAAAGTGTAATAGACAATTACAGACTCTAAAAATAAGAAATAACTTTTACCACTAACAACCCCATTACTAATTAAAAAAACCAACTGATCAGAAAATAATAAATTCCTATCCACTAACAACAAGCCATGACTTAGTCAGCCACAACTCCTAGTAAAGCAACTAAAATAATAAATTCCTTACAAATAACTACTCACTTAACCTAATAATTCAGAAAATAATAAAATAACAATAATATATATATATATATATATATATTGATTCGATTATTAAAAAAGTATATTTAAAAATTAACTAACCTCTTTATTGATCATATAATTTTTCTTAGAAATTAATAAAAATATAATGGTTAATAATACAATATAATCCATAGCAAAATTTCATTTTGATACTTAAAATATGTTGGGGTGTGTTTCTTCTTAATGTTTGGTGGTTAAACATGCACTGTATTTATTGATGCATGACTTAATATCTGAATAATCACATCAATAAATATTATCTACTTCATTATTATTAGTAAGAATTTAGAAGGAGGTGAAGAGCCTCATCTCACTTTTGTATAAAGATATGAAAATCCTTTGTAAAAGATTAGAAGAAGCTTGTTAGAAAAGAGAGTGATCGTTTTCATAAAGCAAAATTATAATTATTATTGTTGGTGAAGTTTGAGCGTGAACATCTAATAATATTAGGGAAACTTAATTATTGTAATTCTATTATTATTATAGTTAAAGAATTTTTAGACTAGGTTCGGTGGTTTAATTCCTATGCATTATGAGAGATTTTCCGCGTTAAAAATTTGGGGTTTAGTGTGTGTCATCTAAAAGGATACAAGTTGTGTCATTTTAGTGACTTACACAGAGTATGACTGTGTAATTCTGAAAAATTATTTTATTTTCACTTTACACGTCAGCGATGTGACTGAGGAGAGAGAAAAAAAAAACAACTTTTATGATTTATATAAAGTATGACCAGTCATACTTTGTGTAAACACAATTTGTGTCCTTTTAAATTATAGTTATTTTTTCCAAAAACTTGTTGTATGTTGTTTCTCTCTTCTTCATTTCTTGCATTCTTCTGTTTTTCTGCGTACATGTCGACCTTTCCGCATTATTTGAGGCACCGGTCCGAACAAAATGTTTGAGTAAAACCACGAGACGTTGACTAACTTACTGTATGCAGGTTACGAAAATTCCGGAAAGTGACAATATATAGGAAACTGCCGTATGTAAAAACAAGTAGTTCCATGTACCCAAAAAAAAAAAAAAAACAAGTAGTTGTTTCACAAAAAGACAAATGAGAATACAAGATAACAGAGCAAATAAGGCATCTGTTTTGCCTTGTTGATTGTATTTTATTTTATTTTAAATTATTTTATAAAATAGTTAATAAAATAGGTGGTTTTGTATTTGAGGAAAATTATATTTATAAATTTTTTATTTACAAACTCTTACAAATTACACTATATCTTAGACATAATATAATTTGTAAATTTGTAAAAAAAATTTATCAATATAACCATCGTCTTTGTATTTTTTATGTTTTGAAAATTAAAAGCCAAAATACAAAACAAAAATAACTTAGACATGTTCTCTAAAAACTAAAAAACAATTATAACACTACTAGAAAAAACCTGTATAGTAATAGAAATTTGGGCACTAATTTCATCCTCCATATTATTTTTCGTCGCAAATTCCCTCCCAAACGATTTTGTACTATTTCTATCAAACAAGCCTTATTAAACATGTTTTTTTTTTAAATCAATAAATTATTCTCGGAAACACAATTCAAACTATATCAAACTATTTTTGTTTTTCGTTTCTCAATTATTCGGATAGATGTGAGATTAGTCTTATTCAGTTAATGATGTTGTTCTTCCTAACAATATATTTTTCTTGGCCCAAATCGTTTAATTTAATGTTTGTTAGCACTTAAACCATAATTTATTAATAAGTCATCTAATGATCAAAGTTTGTGTTTGCATTAGTTTATTTTGAGGGAGAAAAAATTGACGAATATTTGAAAGAACTATAAAAGAATAACTTAAAAAAAAACCAAAAATAAACATATATATAGTACTAATTATTATTTATGTATATTTTTTTTTACTTTTTCAATTTTGAGATCAATAATATTCACAACCAAAATAAAAAAAAAAAGGGAAAATGCATATTAGGTACTACGAGCTGCAAAAAATATGATTCAATGTTAACGTAGAAGTTTTTATATATATTATGTTAATTTTGTATTACCTATTCATTAAGTTAGGTTACGAGTATATTTTTTTTACAATAGGAGTAGGTACTTTCTTGTCAAAAAGAGAAAAGAAATAAATAAAAAAGAGAATAACCACAAACATAGGGATATTATAAATGAGTTAATATCGAGTGCTTGGTACATTTGTAGCACCGAAAATATTTTTCTAGTATACACTCCGTTATATATGTGGTTGTTTTAATATTTTGACTAAACTGCTTAATATTTAAAAGACCCTAAAATGTTGTTACACAATTTGAATATAATGCTGGCACTGAGATTTAAATTTATGACTTCAAGCAAACCACCTAAACCACTCACCATTATACCAATTCTAGACTGGCTTCAATTTTGAAATGTCTTCACTACGAGTGAGCTTCACTAGAAGGCAACTCTATAAATTCATGACAATTGTAAATTTTCCATACAATTTTCCTCATTCAAAGAGCATGATTTTTATAGTAGACCGTAGACCAGAAGTTTTACTGAAGTCTGTTTGCATATGTCACGAATGTATAGATAAGAAAAAAAAATAGTATTTATTATAATTTATTTTAATTAAAAATATTAGCTTTTTTTATACAAAGTTTTTTATTTTTTAGTATATTAAGATAAAAATATTTATCATTTTAAATAATATAATTTATGTTATTTTAAGTAAAACGGACATATTTTGATATATATTTGATAGTTTTTTATATTTTTTCTCCATAAAATCAGAGAAAGAAAAAAAGTATTATAAAGAAAAACAAACAAAAAATCTACCAAAATGACAAATATTTTTTCCCTTTATTTTGAATTTAACAAAGAAATTTTCTAACAAATGGTCCTCGACCTTGTTCTTGTTCTGCATGGATTATTTTTTTAATTTTTGTTTATTAACCAAAACTGCTCGTATTTAGAGCTGTCAAAACGGGTCAGCCCGACCCATTTAGCCATAGCCCAAGTGGGTTAGGGCCAAAAAGCCCACAATGATATAGATCCACACGGGCCAAAGCCCTATGGGTTAGGGCCAGCCCACGGGCCTTCTAAAAAAATAATATGTATTTTTAAAAAAAAAACTTATAATAAAATGGTGCATAGAAATTATTAGAAAAAATAAAAATAAATAGTTTTTAGAAAATTGTCACTTTTTAAATAAATTATTGCATGGAAATTTTTTTGTAAAAAGTTTTGACAGAAAACGTTTCTGTAAAAAAATTAACGAAAAAAAATTCGTCAAAATTCTTTACAGAATCTAAATTCCGTAAAAGTTTTTGACGAAAAAATTTCCGTCGAAATTTTTGACGAAAAAATTTTCGTCGAAATTCTTCACGAAAAAATTTCGGTCGAAATTCTTGACGAAAAAATTTCCGTCGAAATTCTTAACGAAAAAAGTTTTTGTTGAAATTTTTGACGAAAAAAATTTTCGTCGAAATTTTTGATGAAAAAAATTTTTGTCGAAATTTTTTGACGAAAATAATTTCCGTCAAAATTTCTGACGAAACACATTTCCGTCAAAAAATTTTGACGAAAAATATTTTTGACAAAATTTTCGATAACAAATATTTCTATCAAAATTTTAAACGGAACACATTTTCGTTAAAAATTTTCCACGAAAATTATTATGTAAAAAACTTTGACGAAAATATTTCTGTAAAAAATTTCAACGAAAAAAATATTTTGTCAAAAATCTTTATGAAATCTAAATTCCGTCGAAAGTTTCACAGATACATTTTCCTCTAAAATTTTGAAAAAAAAATTTCCGTTGTAATTTTCATTGGGTCACATTTGCATCGAGGATTTTGGACGGAAAATATTCCGTCAAAATTTTTGAAGGAATTCTTTTTTCCATCAAAACTTTTGATGAAATTTTTTTTCTTGTAAATTGAATTGAATATTGTAGCCCGTGGGTCAGCCCAATCTAACCCTATAATGAGAGGACTTTAAAAGGATGGACTTAAAATAGTTCCATTACATAAAAGGCTAAAATTTTATAGAGCTAGTCCTAGGACTTGATGGGACTTGAGCCTTTTTGAGAGCTCTACTCGTATTCCTAGAAGTTTTCATGGTCTAAAGTTTGAAAAGATAAGGCGTACATACTCACAGCAGGACACTCGGGAGTCATATTTGTTGTTATATAAAATTGTGAAAGTAGATTGGGTGCACAAAGCACTGAAACAACCCCCTTTCTTTTTTTTATAATCACTGAAACAACCCTATATTTAGTAAGCCTGTTACATAATGAGAAAATCATAAAATTCCAAAAGCAGAGTAATTTTTTAATAAGTCAAAGTAATATATATCAGTCATTCATCGAAGAATTAATGAAATGGTAACTTATTAAAGCAAAAATTATGATAATAGTTTTTTGCTTATCTAATATTTTCCTTAGTAATAAAGTAATAGGTTTCAATTAAACATTGAAAGGGCAATAAATCTAAAGGCTCGAAAAATTATAATAATAAATAATAAATAATATGAACACGTTTCCATTTACATATAAAAAAATCTAAAGGCTTCAATTGACTAATGTTGAAGCCTGAGCAGCAAGACGTGCAAATTTGAACAAAAAAAACTAGTCAAAGAAGTATGCTGAATATATTTATTTCTTGCTCTGCTCCTCTTTGTAAACTTGAAGAGACTAGTCTACTATGAAGCGGGTAGAAGTAGAACTCAACACAACCCACCTAACCTCTATATTATTATGACCCTGCAACGTTTCAATATTATACTGCGCAGACAATATCAATGCATGTACCAATCTTGTTGTATATAAAAAGGTTTGCAACCTCATCTTACTCATTCAGCCTCACCTCAAGGACTAATATACTCTCTCAAGTCTTAACTTATTACTATCACTTTTGAATCTTTTGGCATCCAAACCCCAGCAAAGCAAAGCAAAGCAAACCATGGCTCCTATTGAAATCCCCACAGTGGTGCTTCCCAACACACCTAATCAACTGAGAGTGCCAGCGATTGGAATGGGGTCTGCCCCTGACTTCACATGCAAGAAAGACACTAAGGTTGCTATCATTGAGGCCATCAAGCAGGGTTACAGGCATTTTGATACTGCTGCTGCATATGGCTCAGAACAAGCTCTTGGAGAAGCTTTGAAGGAAGCAATTGACCTTGGTCTCGTGTCTCGTGAAGAGCTCTTTGTCACTTCCAAGCTTTGGGTCACCGACAATCATCCTCATCTCGTTGTTCCTGCTTTGCGCAAATCACTCCAGTGAGAACATATTATATAATATTGCTTTCATTTTCAATATGTGGTTTGCTTTTACATATATGGTTACTGAGATTAAGCTTCTGGTTTTGTTATTTTGTGTAGAACTCTTCAACTAGAGTACTTGGACCTGTATCTGATCCACTGGCCCCTCAGTTCTCAGCCTGGAAAGTTTTCATTTCCAATTCTTGTTGAGGATCTCTTGAAATTTGATGTGAAGGGTGTGTGGCAATCCATGGAAGAATGCCTCAAACTTGGACTCACCAGAGCTATTGGAGTCAGCAACTTCTCTGTCAAGAAGCTTCAAAATCTGCTTTCTGTTGCTACCATCCTTCCCGCAGTGAATCAAGTAATTAAACTAAGTCCATGAGTGTGTGTCTGTGTTGCTTTTTCCTTTTTCTCTTTCTGAATAAACTTGATATTGATCATGAAATTAATATATTAACTGTGATGACCTAATATATATATATATATATATATATATATATATATATATATAGGTGGAGATGAACCTTGCATGGCAACAGAAGAAACTGAGAGAGTTCTGCAGCGCAAATGGAATAGTAATAACAGCGTTCTCACCTCTGAGGAAAGGTGCAGGCAGGGGACCCAATGAAGTTATGGAGAATGATATGCTGAAAGAGATTGCAGATGCTCACGGCAAGTCAGTAGCACAGGTTAGTCTGAGATGGCTGTATGAACAAGGAGTCACTTTTGCGGCCAAGAGCTACGATAAGGAGAGGATGAATCAAAACCTTCAGATCTTTGATTGGGAATTGACGAAGGATGATCATCACAAAATAGATCAAATCAACCAAAACCGTTTAATCGGTGGACCAACCAAGCCCGCCCTCAATGATCTCTGGGATGATGAGATATAAGTGTTAAATCATAGATGTTTGCGTGAATCCCTTTTTATGATATCTTGTTCCTTATTAAGCTAATTGTGGGGTGGTTAAATTTTCATATATGAGTGATGTAATAGTGAATTTAATGAATGTGGGTGACATGTATGAGAAATATGTTCCCAAACTTGTGTACCACAAAATGAAAAGAGTTATTTGATTTACATTCCAAAGAAAGGATTTAGCTTTTAAAATGAGGGAATATTTTAAAAGATAAAATGCCGAATCATAATTGTTAAATTGAAAAATATTTAAAAGTAATTACCATTTTTAGTAGTTTTCCTTGTCATTTTTCAAAATTAAGATCAATAATATTTACAACCAAAATAAATAAGAAGGGAAAATGCATATTAGGGACTACGAGCGGCAAAAGTTATGATTCAATGTAGATTTAGAAGTTTTCATGTTATGTATAACTTTGTATTATCTATTGTGGGGAAAGATATTGTGACAACCAAGTTGTGTTACTACCAAGTGACTACCAATCAATCTCACCGTTAGATTGATTATATTGATCCAACGGTTATATTGATTTCCATCTTTGTATGATCATGATTCCCTATATTTAAAGTGAAAGCATTAAATATGAGAAATCATAACCATACAAAGGTGAAAATAAATATAAAGTCTTAAATTTGGGGAATCATGACCATACAAAGATGGAAATAAATATAACCGTTGGATCAACATAATCAATCTAACGGTGAGATTGATTGGTAGTCACTTGGTAGTAACATAGCTTGGTTGTCACAATATCCTTCCCCATCTATTAGGGTTTGTTTTTTCTGATGTTACTTTAGATAACTTTATCTAATGTTCATCAAAACGACGCCGTTTTGGGACGAAAATCATGGTATTTTTGTAATTTTAATTTATTTCAGGGTTCTAATAGTCTTTATCACTCTAATTTTTTAATTTTTCAACCCCAAAACGACGTCGTTTTGATGAACATTAGATAAAGTTATCTAAAGTAACATCGGAAACTTTTTTCCCTATATCTAATTATCGTTACTTAAAAAGTCAAAAATGCCGTGTCAAAATATTTTAAATAAGGGAAAATATATTCTCATGTTGGAAAGTATTTTTCTCTGTTACGCATAAATTGATTTTTGTGTTGCTTATATTTTTTTTTATAAGTGAGTCTCACACATAATTGTGTCTATAGCATAAAAGTATTTTTTTTTTCTATTAATTACATGAGATTAATAAAGCACTTTAAATAATAATGTTGAAAATTACACGCTTACTCATAAGACACAATTGTCATCTAGTATACACTCCATGTGCTTCTATAACAGTTTTTTTTCCTTCCAAGTTCATCATATACGTTGTGGGTTTTAATATTTTGACTAAACTGCTTAATATTTAATAGACCCTAAAATGCGGTTCCTCAATTTTGAAATGTTTTACTTTGAACTATGAGTGAGCTATAGTAGAAGTAAATCTATAATTTGACTTATACCCAAAAAAAAAATCTATAAATTGACGGCAACGAAAAATCTTCCATTTCAATTTTCCTCATTCAAAGAGCATATGTCACGAATGTATTTAATAAACAAAAATAGTACCATTATCCTAATAAAAAAAATTTTAAAAATTTCAATTTTTTAATATATTAAATACTTGTAATTTCCATTTAACAAAGAAATTTACCAAGCAACGGTCCCTTGACCTTGTTCTGCATAGATTCTTTTATGCTAACCTAAACTACACGTATTCCTGGAATTTTTCATTATTTAAAGTTTGAATAGCTAAGGCATACACACTCATAGCAGTACACTTTAGCATCCTCTTAACAAAATCCTATTTCCTTATACAAATTGTTACGTATGCACATTTTAAGTGTTTTGAAAATTAGATCTTTCATTAACTCATCGTGGCAATTGGTTCACGTGTATTGGTTTAGTCATAGTTGAACCGTAATTAAACTAGTTGAACCGCCGATTATGCCAGTTTTACATCAATTCAGTTGGTTTTTCAGCCATTTTCGGCCCCTCCAATTACATGGGCCAGACACAAGGCCACGTCTAACGGGCTTAACGGGCCAGAGACGTGTCAAAAGATACTATTAAGTATCCATGACTATTTTTCTAGTCATACTATTGCTTAACATAAGCTGTTTAAAAGGATTAGGCGTCTGTTCCCAGAATTACTTCACAATTTAATAGTCCCAAGTCTATTAAATCACAACGCTATTGACTTCATACAGGCAAACAAAAATAGAGAGAGAAGATTAGCATCATCATAAGCACAAATCCAGAAATGGTTAAATATATATATTTTGGATACAAGTCGGAATTAAACACATAACCTAATATAACCTACTCAAACTCCTTACCACTAGATCAATCCTAGTGGCTTAAATTTTTTTATATAATATATGCCAATCGTTGCTAAGATTATCCAAGACAAGCTATAAATCTTCCTAGTAACCAGATTGTCCGTAACACACACCAAATTCTTATGACCTGCCAGTCATTACTTAAATCATCTCTAGCACAATAACACAAATCAAGAATTAGCTAGAAACTAGAATATCCACAATACCATACATGTTTTATAATCTATTACCATAGTTAGGATAGTTAGCTGAGTCTTAGTTATATATGCATATATAATTAGTGGTCAGTAACTCTTTCTAGTCTATGTAAAAGCCATGCATTGGCTTTGTATTATACACTTTATTCATTCAGTAAATTTCAAATTACGATTTCTCATTTTCTCTCAATGGTCTCTTTAGCTCTTGCCACGTTTTTTCAACATAATCTGCCAATCTATACTTACTTTATCAGTGACGCCCCAAGTCTGGACTGTATTGCCATTTATTCTTTGAAGCTACCGAAAATTGGGCCATATCTTAATCCCCGGTGCATTTTTCTTTTATTGGAGTTATTCATCTAAGAACTATCATTGTCTAGAATATCTTTTAACATGATACAAGATATGAACAGAAAATTGTTTTGTCATGTATTAATAGATTACACAGAAAGATCCCAAACTTCTCTTAATGCTTATATATTACCATTTATAACTGCATAATATATATAATACAAGAACAGAACAGGCTTTCAGAGGCTATACAAGCAAGGAGAAGAACATTAAAGAAGCGAAAAATAAATAGCATAAGTTTTTTCCCAGAATGAGAATGATTCTTCGGGCCCTCATGAATTAGGCGATGTGCAGTCAGTTTCCATACAAGTGAAGCGATGCAATTGCTCAATAATGTTGAAAGCAAGATACAAGGCAAAGTAATTCAATAGCATGATCATTTATCAAGTTATCTACCAATGTTTCTCAAACGTTTCAGCACATCTTTTTCCCCAGTGAGTTGCCTGACCAAACCTTTAAATTGACAAGAAAAATTCAATACCTCATGGTAAAAATAATAATAATAATAATAATAATAATTAACCAAGAGACTAAAGGGTAGTGGAAGTCTTATTCTATATGATAGAACTTCTAAATCGACCATCTAAGTTTCCCCTATGTGATTAACACAATTTTCAGAGTGCAATGGCATTAGGGCAGATTGAATTATGATCCTAGACATCAGGAATCCATGATTTCCCAAGTATGTAATTGATATAGTGATAACATACACACACAAAAACAATGATGCTCGGAATTCTTTCCGTAAAAGGACATATGCAACATAATGTCCAAATATTAAATAAATTATTACCGTTGGTATAATCGCGACAATCATTAAGACCAATCCTCAAACTTGTTTCCCATTTTTCATTGAACTCACTTGCTATTTCCACAGCATCTGCTTTGGAATATCCAACAAGCCAGCATTTGCTTCTTGGCAACTTTTTTAACTTCCTCACAAGAATAGCTCCTAAGAATAAGAACAGAGGTCACGGTTTGATTAAAGAAAAAGTAAAAGCAGTTATGGCGAAAATATCCAACCAGAAAGTTCAAAAGTTATAATAAATCAGTTCAAATTTGCCAAATTTATTGTCACAAAAGGTGGACTATATAATTTCATCTCAGAAGAACTTAATGCACCAGGAATCAAATTTTCCTCTGCCAGATCATGAGAGCAAACTACATCATATACTTTCACTCATGGTAAGTGAGGGCATGAAGGAAACTATACAAATAACATAAAAGCTCATATGATGAAGCAAATATTGTTAACAACTACAGGGAACATCTTTCAGCATAAAGATAATTCACATTGTGATTTGTGATTTGTGATATAATTTATATCCAGCTGCTATCACAATCTTGTATAATAGCATTAACACGTGATGGTATAATTCTAAATTGTAACATATAAATTCATGTGTTTGTATTAGAATGAAAAGGATGACAAATAACATTAATATCACACGTCAGATGTGAAATGGAGCAAGTATGGGTCACCTATTTTGAAGAGCATCAACCAAGAAAAGCATAAATGCCTCTTGTGAGAGTGTGGCTATATGCATTTGTGGCATGTCAAAAACGTCAATGGCATTATTATACTGCTGCCTGCGGTAAATAAGTCTTCAGTAGCTTTTATTTCAAGTTTTTGTAAATTATACATAGCAGTTTACACTTTTGCACTGTCTAGCTAGGATCATGCATAATCTCGTTAATTAGTATTTAATACCATTCAGAAGTTAACTTTCTCAAAACGTCAGACTAGTATTCTCGAAATCTCACCAGGCACTGCTCTACCAGATAGAACTCCTAGTGCCACATATATATCTTCAGGATCTTTTGGTTGAAAATCAAAAACCAGAACCTGAAAAAGCATTGTTGAACTCAAGCTTGAAACATGCAAGGGCAACTGATGGACTAAATTGCAGTCATGGGTTACATGAAACTACTGAAACAAATTAAACAAATTTGAAAGACTCGTTTAAAAAATAAAAAATAAAAAGGTAAAAATTTATACACACTAATAATTATAAATTTATAATGAGCTTATCCATGAATTGACGAAATAATTACTAACTATAAATATAAGGTGAGGAAGGAAGCATAGAAACCTGAGAATGAAGAGAAGGTGAGCAGGGTTTGATGATGACCATGAAATGCTGCAAATCCCAGAAATTGAGGGAATAAGCAGCTGACATAAGCAACTGGGGTGGTCCCTTTGTGGCCCTTAGAGGCATAGCTGCTACATACACTTCATCTCTTCCCCTTACCATTGCTGAGTTCGACAAGAGGGATACCATTTTTCTGTGGGAATAACTCAAAAGGCACCAACAAAGCCAATTTCTATCTAGACAGTGAGCTAAACTGAACTGCTTAACTTTATCCGATCGACCTTTTGTCTGACAGACTACTGGTTGAAATTGCAAGTTATATATATATGAAGATGAGCATGTCAAATTTGTTTTATTTATTTATTTTTAAAGTTCATATTATTATTGATATGGGAAATGCTATTTTTATTGTTTAACTTTTTAATCTTTAATTTGAAATATCAATATGATGAATAGTTAATAGTCAATAATGGAATTGAAAATATATTTATATAAAAAAAATTGAATAACATGTATAAGTTATGTCTTGAATTATAGAAAGCTGAGTTATGCCTAGCAAATAAGATTTTTTTTTCAAATTGATGGGGCAAACTCTCATGGAACATGATATTTCAATTTTATGGTAAAACTCGTAAACCATTTAGCTGTGTAAGCCATGATTAAACTTGAGCTGTATTAGATGCGCGTCATCATATTGCTTTACTTATTTTTAAGTAGTGTTGCTTGTGACTAAGGGTGAAAGTGGACTGGACTGGACTCGACTGAGTTTTATCCTGAAAAATTTAAATTTATATTAAAAAATTTCAATTTGATCTGACCCGATAACATAATACGAGTCTAACTGTTAGCCTGACTTGTCCTATTTATAAAAAAAATAAATGGCCTAATATGATCTGTTAGACTGTTAATATTACAAAAAAAAAAAATTAAAGGTATTTTATTTTTTTCTTCAAGCCATGATTATTACGTAGACAATCTCCACTGTATGTTAAAGCTTGGATGGTATCTTCAGTCAAGTTAGAATGATAGGTATCAATAACTCTTCTTTCAGCATTAAATGTTGATTTTGATGATACTGTAAAGATTAGTACAGATCTTATGTCACTCCCAAAGATAATATTGGTGAGAGATCAAACCTAAGTCCTTCCACCATCTACTTAACTCATATTCACCAACTGAACTATCGTCATTTGTTATTATTATGAATAATATTATTTTATTTTATTTAAAATAAATAATATGATATAGACTGATCTGTGGGCTTATAGGTCCGGCATATAAAAAAAGCCTATCACCTACTTTTTAAACAGGCTTTTTTGAAAGTTCGGACATGTTCTATTTGACTATATGTAATAGGACAAGTTCGGTCTGATATAGATTAAGCCGTAGATCTCTGTAGACCGACCTGACCCACTTTGACCCTTCACTGTGAGTTAGTGACCAATATTCACTTGAATGTTTAGTGTTGGTTGGCTTCTCAAGAGAGAAAAATAAGGAACAAAATATCTCAAACAATCACATTTCTTCAATTTAAAGGAAGTGAGACCTAAGGAGCATGGAATAAAACTCCTCAACTGCCAAGGGCATGGTAGACAAAGTTGCTTAATAACGTGAATAAATGGTCTTAGGAAAACTCTCCCCCACTTTGAATTCGACAATATTCAAATCAGACTAGTTCTAATTCAAAGAATGAACTGATTGAGAAGAGTAAAAAAACATTGCATAAGATAATAATGTTCAATATATTTATTTGAGCAAACAGAGCTATCCTGCATTTCTGCAGAACATTACAAGGACCATAATAGACTTCATTCATACTACCTTGGAGACCCACATCCAAATTCCCACGTAGAGCTCACAGTACATAAACAGAAATAGTACCGCTCATGTATATGCCACGTGGTTGAAGTGGTCATCACTCATGTCTCTTACCCATTTAGCTACTAGCTATTTTATTAGACCACTAAACAAAGAAAACTGAAAAGTACCCTCTAAAACAGTGATATAAGCAGCACATTTTCCCTTAACATTCTTTATTCAGTCTTCTCAGTTGGAGCATCTGTGACCTCTTCAATCTTCTCAGCTGGTGCTTCTGCGATCACTTCCTCCTCTTTCTTTTCATCTGAAGCTTCTATTTCAACTTTCTCCTCACTTTGCTTTATTGGGGCTTCAGTGTCAACCTTGTCCTCAGGTTCAGGCTCAGCTACCTTCTCTTCTGTAACAACATCTTCTTTCTGAATCACTGTCTCAGATTCTGCAGCAGCTGGTGCCTGAACCTCAACAGCATCAACATTTTCTTTGGTTTCCTCAACAACTTCTGTCTCAGCTTCTTCCTTCTTAGTTTCCTCTTCTGTCTTCTCAACTGTCCCATCCACAGCTTCTACTACCACCTCTTTAGTCTCAACTTCAACCGAGGACTTGCCTTCTGGAGCTTCGGGTTCATGGACTTTAGTAACTGGGGCCTCTTCTTCCTTGGTTTGCTCAGAGCTAGGTTCTGATGCTGGTGTTGGAATCTCAACAACTTCTTCTTCAGTCTTCTCCTGATCAGCCTTCATTGATTCCATTGTGTCCTTGGGAAGGGCAGTGTTTGCTGATACAACCTACAAAATCCAATTAAAACAGGCACAGATATGATAAGATGAAAAATCAGTTGTTGTTTATTAGAGCCTTAACTTAGACTCTGGTGAGAAAAAGCATAAGCTGGTGGGGGTGCTAGTTTAAATAGTTCTTATTCTTCTTACTGGGGTAATTATTGGTTAACATGCCTCTTCTCATAATTGTTGCAATATATTTTAGTAGGAAAAGGTTTCCAATTTGTAAGATTATATATTTGATGTTTCTTTTAATACTCAAACAAATATGATAGATAGAGAAGTCATATGATTCATGTAGCATATTTATTGTGATGACCATTTAATTAAAATTTGCATTTCGAGAACTTTATATGGTTCTATTTAATTTTCTGAGTAAAATGAAGTATAAGAAGGGAGTTCAATTTCATTGACAGAGCTATATATTGATAAGCGGTTAATTGGCTATATATATAAAAGATAGATAGATAGATTGTGTTCGACTTTAGATCAAGCTGGAAACAAATATATGAAAATAAGGCTGAAACAACATAAGGAAATATATTTGCAGATTCTGACCAACCATGTGAACTAGAGTGCCAACTAATTGAAGTTAAAAAGTTACCTCAACAGTGGCCATTGGAATACCAAAGAATATGCAATTGATTCTAAAAGGACAATGTTAAGAGTGCTATAGGAAACTATGATAGCTTTTGATGAAAAGAAATGAGCATTGAGAGTGGTTTATATAGAGGTAGAGGGGTCAAGTTGATGAAAGAAAAAGAGAGGTGGGGGCACTTCAAGAATCTTGGGATTTGACGCCTCTTTCACTGAATGCTAATGGCATGTTTGGCAATAATGGTGGCAAAGGCTTAGAGATGAGGTTATGCTATTATTTTATAATGGTTGTTTCGGATCGGCTGAATAATGGAGGGTCATTTTTCATTGAAGCCATCATCTTCTTTTGGTTCTAAGCTTCTGTGCTTTGTGCAGTCGGATATCTAGGGGTGAATTACCATATTCACTGTTACTTCGTCATCATTGAGAGGTAAAATAAGGAAAATTACTTTGTGGTTGAAACAAATGGTTCATGTCAACTAATTAGATTGATAATAAATAGAAAAAAGTTCACTTTAACTTTGTGATTACATGATATATTGCTTACTTCTGTAATTCAAAGTTTATCACTTAAATCAATTGTAATTACATAAATATATCAATAATTTTTTTTAAAAAAAAACCATTCTCATTTTTATGTATTTTAATTTTATAATAGGAAAAATTTCAGTTTCACCCATCATGGTTATAATAATTATCACTTATCTCGATGTGGTTTCAAACTTATCATCAAGATCCATCGTGATTATAGAATGTATAGTTTAGCCCCTCAAATATTCAAAATGTCCTTATCATATAAAATATTTATAATACCCTTAATAAATAAATTATATTTAAAATGTCAAAAATATCACTAGTTAAAAAAAAATCTGATTAAAAATACAATTTTTTTTACAGTTACTTTTAATCGTAACCATTTTACTTAATTTGATCTGATGGTTGTAACTAAACACACTAAATATAGACTATTACATTACTTTTGTCACTCCACTTAGGAGATAACTTAATATGACTATCTAAAGTCTCTAAATCAAAGTTACCATCATTACTTTGCATTTTAAACCCTATTAATATATTGAAATTTCATCTTAATTTGAGGAGTAACGTTTTCGATGCTTATTTCTCGACAATAATTAAGGTATAATTCATGATTGTAATGTTTCCGTTGCTTATTTCTTGGCAATAATTAAGGTATGTTAATTATAGTTCGTGAAAGTAAAGTTTCTCGTGCTTATTTCTGCATCAACTAAAACAAAAATAGAAAAAGTATGTTAATCACATATTTTAGATACTGCGCTTTTTGGTGAATAAAGATGTCCATGTCAGATAACAAGAAGTAGATATAAAAAAATTTGAACAATAGTTAACATTATACATATAATTATAAAATTTGGATATCATAATAAATTAAACTTTAATCACTCCTCTTGAATACTTATTCTCTTACAAACTAAATTACCAGTATCTTCACAAATTAGGATTTATGGAGATTGATTTTTTAATTCCTAGGTATAAAAATTAGAAACAACTATGTTTTGTAGGTTGCTGAAAAGATAGATTAGGAGGATGAATGGTATACCTAAATGCAGTCAAGGTCGATGAGGCGATGACAACAACTTCTTTCTTATAGAGAATAGCCTAATCTAATTGGTAGCAAGGATATGGTTTCCTAGTTCTTGATTTAGGTATTATATTTAGATTTTTTAATTAGGGTTATTTTTTATATTTCACATATAATTTGTTATTTTTTTTAGTAAATCAATAGTTTATATAATAAGGATATTTTAAATATTTTAGGGGTTAAATAATACATTTTATGACCAAAATGGATTTGAGTGATAAGTTTGAAACCACGTGGGCTAAGTGATAATTGTTGTAACCACAATGGGTAAAATTGAAACTTTTCCTTTATAATAAGGTGTGAATAATTATTTTAAAAAAATAAAAATCAATTGTGTTAATATAATTATTTTCATTAAATTTTATTATAGAACAAAATCAACTTTATCTGTGTAAAAAGTGAGCTTATCATCTTTTAGTAATTTTTAAAAAGAAAAATATTCATTACGTATAATTTACATGTCATGTTAAAAAAGTACATGTTAAATTAAAATTTAAAGATAAGTAAAATTAGTTTTAATTAAATAATAAAAATTGTTTATATATATATATATATATATATATATATATATATATATATATACATGTCATTGTGTCAAAAATAAATAAAGTAATCGTGGAAAAGACATTTATCTATAAATTGAGATTTAAAAACTTGAAATTCAAAAGAAAAATGGTTGTGTGAAGTATATATAAATTGGCTTGCATCAATGAATGTCATTGTATCAACTTCACTATGAATATAGAAAATATTAAATCAACCCACACTATTAAGTAAAAAGTAATATTTTTAAAGTTTAAAAGTATAAAAATAAAAATTGATTTGAAACCATTCAAAACTGGTTCTAAAATCAGTTGAGGTTTGGTTGGGATTCAGTTCAAAACCGAATATGAGACAAACCAGTTTCGAATTTCAAAGCTTATTCCAAACCAACTGTAAATCAAAATCGATTTCTAAACTGGTTTAAAAAAGGAAAATATGCTTTGAAAAAATTAAAATCAATTAGATTTGAAGAACCAAACCATAAAAACCGATTTGATTCGGCATAAAAACCAAATCATACACTCGCTGCACCATTTTTTAGCACAATTTTTTTAATTGTTAAAAATTATCAAATCACTCCCACATGATCAATAAAAACAAAAAATAGTCACGATAGATTGACTATTGTTGACGTTGGTGGTCAAAGAAGAAAAGAGGTACCAGTAGGGGTGAAATTGGCTCCGGCCGGCCACAGAGATCTACGGTTTGGCCTACGTTAGGCCGGACCTGACCTAGTATATTTTGTAAAATAAGTCAAATTTGGGCTTTGAAAAAACTTGTTTATTAAAAAGGCCATAGGCCCACTTTCACAAGGCCTGACCTATAAGCCTACAGGCTGGCCTATATTGTACTATTTATTTTAAATAAAATAAAATAGAATAAGTATGGCTTGAAAAAAAATAAAAGATATAAATTTAATCAATTGTAATTATTTATAACCTAATTATATTCGATTATATTTTAATAGAAATCTAACTTTTTTTCTTATATAGGAGGAACCAACATATCAACATGTTAAATTGTGTATATGAATATATTAAAAGGTTTTTGAGAGAGATTATACTTACTACAAACATCATGATGTGTTGTTAGATTCATGTAATTATTTTAATTTACATAGTATGGATTTGTTTCTTGGATATGATGAAATATTTGTTATTTAGTTTGAGCATTTTGCGTTTGAAAATGACTTAAATGCAAATTGTATGAATTTTGTTGTGATTCATGATTCTGTTTGGACGTTGAAATTATGATTTTTGGTTTAGCAACAGAATTTGAGTATTTTGTAAAGTTGATTCATGGTTCTGTTTGGAAGTTAAGAATTAACCAACTAATGGGCTAGGCCAGGCTATTTATTTTTTTATAAACGGGCCAAATCAGGCTAACAGTTAGACTCATAATAGGCTTGGGCCAGGTCAAATTGAAACTTTTTTGACGTAGGCTTGGGCTTTTCGGGGTAAAGCTTGGCCTAGTCTAGCCCACTTTCACCCCTAAGTATCAGTACCACATCAAATTACCGCTAAACCTACAAGATCAATAAAGTTTTACACAAGTATATTATTTTCTATGATTTTGGTAAATAAATAATAAATAATGGGCATTTCTCATGTTGCTGTTGCATAAATATTTCATAACACTAATTTTAGTAGTTATTTAATCAATAATAAATAAAATTTTAATCCAAGAGGCACAATTGGTAAGAAAATTGTACCTAAAAGGAGCGAATTATTATAGTTAAAATGTCGATGGTTTGATTCCTAGGCAAAACACCTCAAGGTCAATGATAAAACATTCACCCTCAATGTCACGAAGGGAATTATTCTCATTTAAAGTGTGAGGATACTTTAAGAAGAAAATATAACAACATTCTACGATTGTATAAAATGATAAGTGATATAAAAAAAAAAGTATTTGTGATTTTAAATGATATAAATTTATGTCATTTTAAAAGAGAGATAGACACAAAATAATATTTTTATATTTAACATTTAAATTTAAAAAAAAATACTCACTTCCTCTCCCATGATTTTTATTCTTTGTGTCTATCTCTCTTCTAAAATAACATAACTTATGTTATTTTAAATGATAAACATCAAACCCATAAAAACATTAAACAAACGCAAACTATAACTGTAACCTATTATAATTTTAAATTTGTAAATATTTTATACCGTTCACTTTCATTAGTTGTATTTTTTTGGGGTTGTAGTAACATCTTTCTTGGATCCCAAACAAACTAATAAATTAGTAAAATAGCTGGCAGCTTCGGATTGTTATAGACCTGACGCAAATAAAACAACAAACCGTCGTTCAACTATACTTTATGGGCTCTGGACGGCTGGTGGGCCCATGGCCCACAAGGTGATTCACATCAGTTGCCGTATTTATTTCCAATGAAAAGGAGACACGTGGAAATCACATCACCGACCACGTAGTCGTTTTGTGGCTGGTTGCTCTTTCTTTCTTTTGATGTGATGAGACTATTATCGCAAAATGGAAAAAGGTGAATCATACTCCCATTGACATGTTGTGGCTGCTATTGCTTATGGGTAAAGATTTGTTAAACAGATGCATATCATTCCTTTGCCTACAAATAGAATGATGAAACCTAAGAATAAGAATTTATATCGCATCATCGTTCACGTCCTAATTATTTACCAAAATAACACATATAAAAGTAACACTGCTAGCTGTAAATGTAAATTTCTTAACAAAAAACAAAGAGGTTAGGGGGCGTTTGGTACGCGGAATTTTAAGGGATTCCCGGGAAACTGAATTTTTTTAAATTTTAAATTTTCAGATATTATCGTAAACTGAATGCAAAAATCATATTTTTGAAAATCGAGATTCTCGGACAAATAAAAATTTCTCCTGTACCAAACGCCCTGTTTGTCCAGGGCATGAAAATGTTCAATGAGTTAATCAAATATAAGATTGCAGCAGGTCCA